TCACACCTACGGACAATTTAGAATCACCAATTAACCTCAACATGTTTAAAATCTGTACAACAATTCTGTGCACTGATTGCATCTTACATTTTTACTAATAGTGCATTTATTTTTTAATACTGTATTTATTCATTTTCATTTTTCATCCTTGTACATGTTGTTATTGTTATTATTATTATGTACATGTATATGTTTAGTGCTGCTGTGAAAGATGTTGCTGTGGAATGGAAATTTCCCCTGGCGTGGGGAGCAATAAAGGATTATCTTATCTTTTTTTCTGAAGGTATATATATATATATATATATAATACTGGTTGTCACTGTTACAGTCGTCCTCAAATTTATTCATAACCTTCCATTAAAGAAAGGGCAAAACTCAAAATAGTCACTCAAACGACTAGAAACTGAAAAGAATAATTAAAACAAATAAACAAACAAACAAAACTGTCCTGGACAAATTAGAGCACTTTGCTGATGAGCAGTGGACCAAAATCAAAATACCTGTCAACAGGTACAGAAGTCTGATTGATAGTTACAGAAAACACTTGATTGCAGTGATTATCTCAAAGGGTTTTTTTTTTGTTTTTTTTTTTTAACAAAATATTAATTTATGGGTCCCATCATGCTTGTTTGTTTGTTGTCTTTTTGTTGTTGCTGTTGTTGTTTCAATATTTCTGTTGAACCACAATTCAATAGCAATGTCATCATTGTCAATATTTTTTTTAACTTATTATTACTTTTGTCAATTTCAACTTATTTCAGTGACAGCTGCTTTTTTCCTTCTTTAATGGGAGGGTATGAATATATTTGAGGACGACTGTCAAGTGGGAGTGTTTTATTTGGAAATTAAACTCTGTACTTCCTCATATGACCACACGGTGTCACTGTTGACACTAAAATGGTAACAGGTTAGTCCTTGCATACCGGCATCTCTACTTCACTGTAAGTCAGTAATTAGCTTGTAAGCGTTTCTGTAAACAACTCAGACCTTCATGATATATTTAAATTTAATTTAAAACTCTACAAATGTCTTCTTCATGGTTGGACAGCGGATGTCTTTACCGCTCACCGGTTGCTCTGGACGCTCCAAACGGCCGTCGGTGACGTCAGACTGGGCCCGCCTCCAGCCTCCGACGTGGTGCTCTCAGCCGCGCACAGACCTCTGGGAAACCGAGTCCAACGCTCTGAATAATTCAAGCCCCGTTCCCTTCTCCTACACTGCTATCAAGATGCCGGCCGTACATCACAAACTGCTCCTGGAGGACGCTTTACAGGACAGTCCTCAGGTAGGCCTACGCGTGTTTTGTCCCGTTCGGAGACGCAGCCGTGTCATGAAAAGACGTTTCGAGCACTGAAGTTAGCTGACTAGCCCAGACAGTATCCAGTTCCCGTTGTGGGCTGTTTCCACTGGTCGATGACAGCTCTCAATTGGCACATTGTGATGGGAATGTAATCCTCTGTCAGCTGTGGCTGCCCCTGCCAGCTGTAAACACTGTTATAGTTTACGCAGCGTGTCATATTTATCTGCGTTTTGTGTGTCTTTGTTGTGTTTGCAAAGCTACCGCCCGTCACAGGGCTTTCCTCCCTGTGTCACAGGCGATTTTCAGGTGTACACACACTGGTGTTAGCCACAACCATGTAGCTCAACCAGAATCTCCCTTCTGCAACCATTTTATTTTCCACTGTCGTATGCAGTTAGTTTTTTGGGCTGAACTCTGTTCTGGAGCCCAACTGGGCCTGATTCACAGGATGTGGGAGGGGTTTCCATTATCAGACTCCCCAGGAATTAGTCAATAGCGTGCAACAGGGCAGTGTGTCACTTGGAAATACCAAATACTTGATGCTTTCAGGTTTTAAATGCCGCATCATAGTTGGTCACCGAGTCCTAGATGTCATGCATGAATACCAGTGATGGTGATCTCAAGTCCAGGCCAGTTTTTGTTGCTATCTGATGGAGTCTGCTTTATGCTGTCTGTTGCATCACTCCTCCTCCTACCAGGGCTGACCTCTTTGATGGATCTGCTTGAGTGCAACCCATGCTGCAGGGCCATTTCTCTATTTACGTTTATGTGCTGCAAAAATGCAATTTCACCTAATGAGATACAGGCCTGGCATCTTTTTGAGTAAAATGTAAACACAGCCAAGGTTTACTATATTCCAGATGATTTGGTGTAAAATGATTCTGTCCTGTTGTGGCTAAAAGCCAACTGGAGTCAACTGTAAACAGACTTTAGCCGATGGGTGTGTTCCTCTTTACTGTATCTGCCCTGCCTTGTCGCACCTGTTTATGAAAACAAACTTCTACCAGACAGGATTTTCTCAGTTTGCATAGTCAGCCTGCAGTAAAATCATGATGCCTTTAGTTTCACTTCAAAGCTGCTCCTCAGTATGCCTCTCCCTGCTGCAGCTTCCCACATTTCTTTCTCTCTGTGACTTATATCCTTTGTCGTCTTCCACAAATGTCTTTGTACATCTATTTTCTGACAACAGGTTCTGACCTAAAGTGCTGCCCAACAAAATGAACAAGGCACATTTGACATAACAAGTACAGCATGACAACCAGAATAAGGGCTGAACAATTAATCAAGTTTAATTTGTAATTTGTGATATCGAAACAGTGCAATTAGCAAATCACAAAGGCTGTAAATTAGGATATAAATTATGCAGTGTGTCTGACACAGAGTTGAAACTGTTGTGTCAGTGGTTTCACAATTTCACACAGTCCTCATGTGACGGTCACACTTTTCATGGTATCTCATGTGGTAATGCTTTAATACACGTTTGAAATCTATTTCACAGTTAACATTGAGGTTAAATTTGACATTTGTATCGCAAATCCAATTGCAATATCTGTCATTAAAACACAATTAAATATTTTCCTCCAGATCACCCAACCTGTATCTGAATTGTCTGAATGTAATATACAAACCTGTTTGACTTATCACTCAAACACCCGTATTTGTGATTACATATAATGATTATTTTTATATTTGATTAGTCTGCAGATTGTATTAGATTATTTGTTTTTCTTTCAACTTATACAAAGCTCAGAAAACTGTTAAAAAACACTCCTTACAACTACTCAGTACGCAAGATGATGCCTTCAAATTGCTTGCTTTTACTGACCAGGAGGTCAGAATCTTAGAAATGTTCAGGTTACTTGTTTATATGACAAATAAAAGCAGCAGATCCACACATCTGAGATCCAAGAATGTTTTGCATCTTAGCTTGAAAAAGTGTCATGATCAGCTCTCAAAGTAATTTATTTTTGTCACTCAATTAGTAGGCTAATTGTTTCAGGTGTATTTCCATTTTTTATTTTTATTTTTTTAACTCTCTCTAAGCCGTTATTGTCATGCCTTTATGATATTCTTGTGTGCCAATCTTTTTTCCCACAGACTCGCTCTTTGCTCAGTGTGTTTGAGGAAGATGCTGGGATGCTTACAGACTACACCAACCAGCTGCTACAATCGATGCAGCGGGTGTTTGGAGCTCAGGTACTAAACTAAACACAAACAGACATACACATTCACTTTTGTGCTCCCTTCGCTGTGTGCCACTGTGAAACACACAAACGTATTCAAACACTGAATAAGCTGAGGAGGAGTATTTGTTTAAAAAGTTGCAGAATAGGAGTCCAAATTTTATTTGCCTGACTGAAGTTGATTCATTGTCGAACAGTTGCATCACTGAACATCAGTATTGTTTCGTTTTTGCACTGAACTGAAAATATCGCCTCAATCTCTGTTTTTGATGAGACAAATACCAAACTAAAGCATCATACACATCAGCTTCACATGAACTGTTGGTCTTCTGTAAGAAATAGGCGGGAAACCTTTGTGTATGGAAGTTTATTCTTGACCTTTATGCAACAAAAACATCTAAGCTCAAAGATGCAGCTGGTAAATAGAAAATCCATGTAAGGAATTTAAAAACAAAAACAACAACTTAAAATCGCATTTCACCTCATACATTCATTAGGCCTAGGGTGCAGATGTTTATGTTTTATTTAGCATCTTGCTTAAATTTTGCGGCTACATCTCGTTTTATTGGGCTGCTGTAAATATACGTGCTTTACATTAACATGGCTTTAGACATTTTTTCAACCTGTAGTCTCTTGGTACATTTGGCATTTATTTGACCCATCATCTTGTGCTTTTTTTAAAGAGAATTTTCATGTGAACCTTTATTCACCTGCTACCCCATTGCTTCCTTTTGTTCATTTTTCATATGCAAGGACTCAAGAGCGAATAACACATGTAGAAGCTAGCAACAAATCCCTTGTAATCCAGTCTGTTAACATGTCTTCTTCCTTCTATCTGTTCCCCCACAGAGTGAGATGGGATTGGCCACAGAGCAGCTCTCACAGCGACTTCTGGAGTATGAGAAGAAAGTGAGTGGAGGTTTATTGTGACTTAATCCTACCTGAGTTCTTACAGTTTGTGTGGGAAAAATCAAGAGTAACTGCTAATATGCTATTACAATTATCTGTGTGATTGCATTAAATAAAATGATTTTTTTAGTATCGCCAGGATGATCTGTGGAGGTATCCCTTTTATGTAAATTTTTTCAATGTGAACTTTTGTTCACCTGTGACTTTGCACCCTGTCACTTTTGAATGTGGATCTTTGTAGAATTGCTGCGCATGAAAAAAAAGCTCAAAGAAGAAGGTCTTCTCTGTTGCTAATCTGTCATGGACTCTCATTTTATGTAGCCAGCAACACGTAAAAAATAGAATAGTCGCACGCTGCAGGTCTACTAAATCATGCAGAAAAAGAAAGATATGTGCATCAGCTGACTTTGTTGGAACACATCCTGGATTGCAGTGTCGATGTTGAGTAGAAAAAAATCTACGATGACCTGCAACTGCTGCACTTTTTTTTTTTTTTTTTAAACAAGGGTTTAAACTCTGAGCACTGGGCTCATTAGCATATTTGGCCTTGTTCCGTGTAACGTGACATGCTGCAAATCCTGGCAGAGCAGGGTATGTTTTAACTTCGTAGCCTCTAGCACAGGCCAGTTCTACACCACATTATGCAGTTTCATGCCTTAAACTTGCCTTCATCCCTTTTTTAACTGTCCAGAATTTTGCCCTTGGAAAAGGTGATGAAGAGGTAATCACCACGCTGCAGAACTTTGCCAAAACCGTGGGGGAGGTAAGGCCTGTGCTTTCAGGTTTTTTTTCTTTTTCTTTTCTATGAGTGTTTACCCGTGGTGTGTTCACAGCAGAGGAGCGCGATGATAAACTACAACAGAGTCAGTAGTTCTAGTGGTTCTTTATCATGTTACAAAGGATAGTGCACCTGTGCTCCCCTAGAGCGCTGGAGAAAATGACCTCAATGAAAAGACCCGAGGACTATCATCCCTGTAAGAGCAGAGCTGATTGTCTAAGAGGGGATTGGCGAGGTGGATATGATGTGTATCACGCCGGATGGATGACTATAGGGAAGCAGCAGCAGGTGGATGGACAGGTAGATGAAGGAGGGCTGTGCAGGCTCACGTAGGTAGACAAAACAGATGGGCTTGTCACTATCAGCCGTGGGGTTCCATGAGCCTGCCCAGTCAGCACTCAGGACACACACACATGCTTAGAGGACACAGGCTTATTGTTTGCTTGACCTTTTACCTCATCATGCACAGAGGAGAACTCATTTCGCAGTGAGAATTAGTCCTACTACTGCACCTAATCTCGTGAACTTTGGCACCTGCTAAATCATTCACATTAAACTGGATGTCAGCTTGTTAGATGTTTGCGTGTGGCTTGTTGATAAGGACAGGCAATAATAGCGGGATTTTCTTGTTTTCTTGTGTGATATGTGGTCCTGTTTCCAACATCAGAGTGTGTGTTATTATTCCCTTCACGAAATGCACTCTTCCACAGCGTGGGTTTATGATGATGTAGGGGAGCCATTGTCTGCAGTTATGCCGCAATTTCACCGAAAATATTATTTTCTGTCTTGCTGGCAGGAAATGTTACAGTCAATATTAGAATAAACGGAAATCCCTCAAGATGCTTGGCATGGGTTCATCTTCTGGTTGTGTCCTTGTGCAGCGCTTGATATGTGTAATCTGTTTTGTATGGTCCAGCTGAACTCGCTCCACTCTGAGTTAGCCAACCAGATGGCTGACAGCATGGTTTTCCCCTTGATCCAGTTCCGAGAGAAAGACCTCACAGGTAGCCACACATACATAGACAAACATTTTGTTATCATAATACTTTTCCTCATATCAACAGAATATTTATCTGTAAACATGCTTTAAATGCTTACGTAAAAAGCTGAAATGTAAAAAGAAACACAGAAGCAATATTTTCTGTTTTAACATCTGTTGTGAACATTGTAACAAAATTTGCTCAATGTGTAATTTCGCAGAGATAAGCACACTGAAGGAAATATTTGGCATCGCCACTGATGGTAAGTGAGGACCTAACCAGTTTCAGAGAAGCTTACATGCAGTAGTTACTATCTGATACTCATGTCCCGTCTCTTGTGCTGTGCAGAGCATGAGGCAGCTATGGTCAAGTACAGCCGGTTGCCAAAGAAGAAGGAGAATGAGAAGGTAAAGTAACTGCAAAGTGCTTTCTCAGCTTCACTGATGGAGCTTTTTTTCCTCATTGATCACAAGCTGTAAAAAGCTTACAGTGCAGTAATGCTGTTGTTAATGCTGCAGGAGTGTTTTATAAGCATTTGAAATACAAATATATTAAATTAAATAAGCCTCTGCTGCCAGGCTTTGCTGCAGTATCAGGACTATACCAACACTATGCATTATAATGACTGCATAGATAAGATTCATTTGCTATTTTGTGTCTATTGGACATGTCAGTGTGTCCTCTGGGACGTACAAGGTAAAGTGACTTTGCTGCTTATTTGTATGTGTGTGAGAGTACAACAAGTGTTTGCATATGTATGAGGTGTATGCAGACCTGGATAGGGAGTTGTGCTAGAGATGTATGTGTATTTATAGATATGTATTTGCATGTTTGACCCTATCCTATGTGCACAGCTGAAGGCAGACATGGTGAAGGAGGTGGCCTACACCAGAAGGAAGCAGCACCAGGCCTCCCTGCAGTATTACTGCGCCCTTAATGCCCTGCAGTACCGCAAGAGAGTAGCTATGCTCGAGCCTATGCTGGGCTACACTCAGGCACAGGTACTGAGCTACGACTGACCTATAAACTGGGCGAGACCTCATCATATCAGCACTTAAAAATAAGAAGCAATTTCGTCATTG